CTGCATTGTTCATTTCTGTCCATCCCTGGTTCTTAGCACAGACCTATTTGCACCAACAGTCAGTTACATACCTCTGGGCTCAGAGGATCTGACCTCCCCTGCCCCAGATCTACCTCCCTCCAAAGAGCAAGGACTGTCTTCACTGGGGGCGGAAATTCAACCAGGAGTTGGGAGAATCACTGGGATACAGGGAAAGAAACCTGAATGTAGCACACTGACAGGAAGACTAATCTAGTCTATTTTCAAATTTAGATAATGGGGGGATAAAAAAGGAAATCCGAGTGTGGTGGTGGCTTATCCAAACGCTTGGGGTGTTGTTGAGGCAGGAAAGGTTGCTATGAGTCAGAGGCCAGGCAGCGTCTCATGGCTCACGCTAACCTGAGCTACCGTATAAGACCCTGTCACAAGAGCAAGGGAAAGGGGGGTCTGGAGTAAATAAAGAGGGGAGATGGCCAACTTGCTGTGGGGATCAGTTGATGTAGCACCCCAGGGCAACTTGCACCCTGGAAGCATAGGCACATAGAATGTCCACAATTGACAAAACAACCTCTAAGTGACAGTTTCAACTTTAGCAGAGATCCGAAGCTACATGCCAATAGCCAAGCTTTCTCTTTCCCCTTCAGAAGAAGAGACTGGTTTTGAAAGCGTTTTCCTTTCTCCCTACGCTACCACAAGCACACCCCGACCCATTCAGGCTCACACATGTTTGTTTTAGTGCTGGACTAAAGTTAAGAGTCTGCCCTGTTATTATATCACTTTTTTAAAACGGCACCACAAAAAGAAAATAAATTATAACCTAAATCCATGGGTGCATTAAAATAGTTCCCTTTCATTTCCAGGAGAGGGGAGGGAAGCCCTGGCTTTCATGTGAACTCCAGGGTTAAAGCCTCCATAACAGCGGTGGGGTGGCGGGAGAGAACATCCAGGTAGTGATACAATTCCCTTGGCTCTGTGCCAGCCACCAGGTAGTGTAAGGATGAATGCATGAACTTACTAAATAAATAAATACATGAACTTACTAAAACAAAGAGCCAAGAAATGTCAACACCATCCCCCACTCACTAACAAAAAAAGTGACCCCTTGAGAATCCTAAAATAAAGTTCATTATGCATGAACTTACTAAAACAAAGAGCCGAGAAATTTCAATACGATCCCCCACTCACTTTAAAAAAAAAAGTGACCCATTGAGAACCCTAAAATAAAATACATTAGCCTTGGACTTACCAAAATTAATTAACTAGCTGATTTTTTTAACCATTGCAAGCCTAAGTCCCCACACCTTGCTGAAGATTTTAAAAAAACAAGTAAATGAACAAATTAAACGTTACTAAAAGATTCATGCGTTCAAATTGCATCCAGAAGATCACAAACACTAACCAAATCTCTTTTAGTGATCAGTCTCCTAGGCAGCCTAGCATTCAAGACTCAAGGGTAACTCAAAGTCTTTACCCAAATCAGCTTGACTTGCAGCTGAAAAGCTCAGCCTTTCCCAGGAGTGACCCAAAAGGCAGCGGGCAGGAGAGGGGTCCTCGCTCCCCTGATGGAATTCCACTGAGATTCCCCTGAGATATAAACTGCTGCAGAGATGAGAAGATAAAATCCGTGCACATCACCCCACAGGGCACTTCTATAGGAGTACTGGAAATCAAACGCCATAGAGGGTTTTTAGGGCTCTACACCTCCCGGTTCTTTGAAAGAGTCTTTAGCCCTATTTCTGCGCTAATAACAAGCCTCTCTCGTCTGTACTACACATATTCCACACTGTGGTTAAGATGCTATGTATAATATAAACAGGGTCAAGAATGCCAGTGTGGAGAAGAGTTGTGTTTAAATTAGCATTAACCCACAAGCTGTTCCCCAAACAGGAAAAGCACCTACCGATGCACAGCTTTGTGTCTGAGGAGGGGCTTGAACACACACGCTCAAAAGGCCCCACGAGGCCCTGTGCAACCCACGGGCCTCATCCATTTTGACCAAGGAAGCTATCCATTTGACCTAAAAGGAAGCTATCGTCTGGAGGGGGTAAAGGGGGGAAGAAATGACACATGGATTGTTCCAGACGCTTTATATGATAACATGAAATAAACTGGCGATGGTGCCACACACCTTCCTAGCTACGAACTTACAATTGAAAGTAGAGAACACTCGTTCAATCAGCTCCCAAACATTTTACCTCCACCCTGCTGCTAGGCAGTCCGAGTTGGGGGCTTCACACATCTTAGGACTAAATAATGTCACAGCACAGCATCTTAAAATAATATCCAGGCCTTCTTCGTCACCAAGGACCCTGACTACAGCCACCTCTGAGAGGTCCTCACTCTCCCCACTGATTTTGGAGACACAGGCCATTCATTCTTCCGGCTGTTTGGCTCCCCGGCCTGTCCAGGTTCTTCAGACTTCTCTGTGACCACACAGTGAACCAATAGGACACAACTACGCTCTTCCCTATCTACACCATGGTTATCCATATTTCCCACCGTCTGCACTTCAGCTCCCTCTAGAACTTTCTCCTCATCCTCTCTGGACCTGTTACAACAAGAATCCAATGGTTGCTTGCTGGATTATAATTTTCTCCTTCGCTCCCAACAGTCTAACACACCCATAACAGCTACTTAGAGGCTAACACAATAGAGACTTGGAATTACCCTGCTCTGCAGAAGGGAAGAAAGCAGACAGAAGCAAGATGCTGACTTCGTGGGCAAAGTCAGAGCTGGCTTATGTGTTAGTTTTCAGGGCAGCCTACCTCACCCTCAAAGTAAAGCATGTTCCTCACATGTGTAGGCATGATGGTACCAAAGAAGGGAGGCAGGAAGGAAAGAAGGGAGGAAGAAAGGGGAGCAAAAAGGGAAGGAAAGAATGAAGGGCAGAAAGTTGGGACTAAGGCAGGGAGAGAGAAAGGAGGGGAAGAAAGGAGGCAGGGGGAGAGCAGGCAGGGATGCAAAGAGGGAGGGAAGGAGGGAGGGCGGGAGGGAGGGGGCACGGTGCACGGTGGAAGGGGAGAAGGAGAAAGGACGAGAGGGAAGGAGGGAAGGAAGGAGACATGAGGGTAGGGCGACCACACATTAAGCACAACATTAAAAATTTGCCCCTAAACTAAACTTCTAAAGATATTATGAGCCGCACACTTGTAGCTTCCGAGCGAAGTGGAGTACAAACTTTTCTACCAAACATCTGGAGCAATCCTTTTCCCTAGAAATCATAGATTTCAGACTGTTCTTGTGAGCCCAAAGACTCAGCATCTAGGATTTACTCTTCCCTTGAGTGTCCCAGTAGGGCAAACAGAACCGATTCTCTAAAACCCGACATCTGTGATACAATCTGAAAAACAAAATCAAATTACATTCTGGAAAGTACTAGCTTTGAATGAAAACAGAAGTTTCCAAAATGCTGCCACTTAAATTCTCACTTCTGTGACTTCTTACCCATCACCCACGGGGATGGATGCTGAGCTCTGGAGGGCCGCAGCCCCTCTCCTGAGCTGAGGATGCAGGAGCACAGTGGGCAGGTGTTTGATGCCCTGCAGACAGTCAGACATCAAGGATCACTTGGTCCTGACGTCAGCTTTAAGCAGCTTCACCGGGTTGTAATAATAAGAAGACTATATTACTGGTTCTCTTGTGGGCAAAGAAAGGAAAAACTGGAAGTTCCTTACCTCCAAGCACCCCTGCATGATGGGTTTCTTTCTTATTTTTTTCCTGTTTTCTTTCTGTTACGCTCCCATTTTCCCGCTCGAATTATTCTATCATTGAGAAGTCCCCCGCAATCACCACCAGCCCCCAGTTATTGGAGAGATAGGTGGAACAGCAAAGATCATCCCACCCAGTCCTTTTCCTTACAGAATGGACACCATGAGCAGAAGCTCAGAGCAGGCCCGGGTTGCTCCGCTAGGGGACGCTGTGTACCAGGGGTCTCTGAGGACAAGGCCCAGTTCTGCAGCCGCACTTCTCAGTCTTCCTGCCTCGGGCAGCTTTCCTCTCTTTCTGCATTTCTTTTCCCTCAAATTAACACTCAAGACCAAAAAAAGGGGGAAATAAGTTTTTTTTTTAAAAAAAATACGACTTTCATATACCTAGAGCCCTGGTGATTATTATTCATAATGTTGCATCGGGAGAACCAAGGGCAGAAACAGCGGTGTGTTCATGTAGTTCACTGCGATGCACATGGCCTTAAGCCTAATTGACTCCTCTTCCTTGGTATTCATTCTATCTGACCGAAGAATATGTTCTTCCCTTTTCTAAGACTTTGAAACTCAAACCTCCGGCTTCTCAGTCTTGTTAGGTGAGCAAAGGACACTTAAACAAAAGCACAAGCTCATAGTACTGCCGGAAAGAATAGTGGATTCTGCGTTAATGACCAGCTAACCTTCTGGTTGCAGATAGCAGAAGGCATCGATGACGATGGGTATAGCTTAAGAGGGAAACTTTCACAAGCCAGTACTCGCTGGAAACCCACACGGAAGAACTCCTCGTAGGTTTCAACTAAAAAGAAAAAGAAGAAAAACGTGGAGGGAAAGGGAGAAAGAAAGAAAAGGGGAGGAGAGGAAGAAAGGAGGACGGAGAAAAGAGACAGTCCAGGGCCCCAGCTTGGAAGCTGCAACAAGCCCTGGGTGCCTCACATCAAAGGCCAAATGGCAGCAAAGAAAAAAACAGCCTAAACTTTAAAAGCATTCACGGTAAACTCTCCCTACAGGAGCCAGCACAGCGGATCAACCCATTCAGGCAAAGCCAGGTCCCTCCCCTGCCTTGCATTTCCCAGGTACTGACTAAGCCTCAGGCGACTTCACGTTAAGTTTAAATTCCTCAGACTCAAGGGACGACTAAGTCACCAGCGAGCAGAGCGCGGGGCGCTGCGACAACCCGGGCCATCTGAGTCCTCGGGGACGCGGCACCAAGGAACTCGGAGCGCCCCACGCCAGCCCTCTCGCGCCCCCAACCCGACCCCAGGTAACCAACCCGAGGCCACCTACGCGTCACTCGGACGGACCCTGGGGCGCACTGACCTGGCCAAAGGGCAGGAGGGCCGCCGGGCCACTGAGGCGACTTCCCTCCCCGGCTGGCTTCCACCGGCTGGTGCGGGAGGCCAGGGCAGCCTCGCCTCCTGCAGGCGGCCTCACACACGCGCGCACACCCACCCACTACGGGCCCGCGGGCGCGCGCACTCTCAGGCGCTCACGCGCAGGGCCACAAAGCCGCGGGTGGCGGGACAGCGCGAGCCGAGCGCGCCTATGGGAGGCGGGGCCGTCGCCACCCGCGCCGGGGGACACCCGGCCGCCCGCGCCTTTACCTGCTAGGTCCAGCTCCGCAGAGCCTGCAGCCTCGGGGCCAGCCCAGCCCAAGCCTCACCCGGGCACGGCCAGGAGGCTCTGAGTGTAGCGCTGCGCTCGCTCAGAGGGGAAAAAAGACTCCTGGGGCGTCACTGCCGCCCAGTCCCGACTTCCCGGACTCTGCAAGCAGGCGGGCGGCAGGGAAAGAAGCCTCGGTGCCAGCCTCCTTTCCTCTCCCTCCGCCTTCTGGCGCTTTTGGCCCCATCCACGTTGCACAAATCAGCAACTCCCCGCACCCCGCCCCCGGCGCCTTTCCCCAGCAGCTCCCCTTACCTGCGTGACTCCCCCTGCGCCCCTAACTCCTGTGGTCCCCTCCCCCAGTCATTCACTGAACTTCCCGAGCTGCTGTGAGTAGGGGGTGGCGGGTGAGGGAAGCCTAAGCCTCCCAGTCAGTACCTTCTCGGTGCTCTCCCCCAACCCTCCACATCAGACACACCCACCCCGGTTACCCCTGCCCCCTCCTGCGCTCACCCCAGAGCCTAGCCGCTTGCACAGCTTTGGTTGACTCCCTGCATGTTGCAATTTTGTCTTGTTGCTTTTCCCTCGTTTAAAAAGCCCGAACAGTAGAGCCGAAACGGAAAAAAAAAAAAAAAAAAAAAAAAAAAAAAAAAAAAAAAAAAAAAAAAAACCTGGTGACTTGGTGTGGGCCTCCTCCTAGTTGAGCTTCTAAACTTTGCAGACAGAGCAAACTTTCCACCGGAGCGGCCCTAAACTGCAGGCCAAAGGGTTGGCTTTGCCGCTAGAAAAAAAGAAAGAAAATAAAAAGGTGCATGAGTCTCCGTGTCTTTGCAACTGCAAATCAAAGTGACTGCGGCTTTGTGCCCCTGGCTCTATGATTATAAATTTCTCTTCCGCTCTCCTAGTGCAACTTTGCAAGGGCAAGCTATGATTTTTCAGGGAGTAATTAAGTGCGGGGCGGGAGGGGGGGAGCACACCTGGAGGTGTGGGCGGGAGCAGGGCATAAGAATCATTTTCTGGAAGGTACCAGCACAGAAGTCTAACGTGACTCAGTAGACAGAGCAGCAGCAGAGAGGTCTCTCCGTGCCAGCCTATCCACCTGCTTCTCACTCCAGCCCCACCCCAGGTTTCCAGGGTCATCATAATTCTCCGCCCCGTCCATAGCTGTGTCCTCCACGCGTCAAAAGCAGATGCCTAGGAGTAAAAGGCCTAACCATCTCTAGCCAGAGGGACATCGAGGGTTGTCAGACCACAGTGAAGTAGGACTAGTTGAGGCAGTGAGAGAATGGATCTGATCGCCAAGCCCTTGCCTGGTAGAAAGAGGTCACTGCCAACAGCGATGGGCTCCATCGATAAGACCCTGGGGGATGGAAAGTTCTCAAGCCTTCAGCAGGTTGTGACTTGAAAGGCCCATGGCCATTTCCTGTCCGTGGTATTTCACAGTGCTCAAGGCTGAACTGAAAAGCTGGTCATTTATTATCCAAAGCTGTTTACTTTTTTAAAAGTATGGTTCAAGCTACACAGGCTTGGTGACACCCACTTGTCATCTCGGCCCAGGGGCACTTGAGACAGAATGAAGAGTTTCAGGCCAGTCTGTACTACATGACCAAGACCCCCTCTCTAAAAACTCTTTAAATCTCTTTTTTAAATACTCTGCTTTCCAAACTCCTTTTCTACCAATTTATGACTTATTTTATAAGTATCTACTTAAAATATAAAAAGTACTCCTTACTATTGCTAATATTGTCATACCCAGCAGCAACTCTGTTCTTGACAACAAGCAGAAACGCATCCAGTGGCAGGTGTTAGTCGGAGGTACAGTGCCTACCAAGTACAAAGCCCTGAGCTTGGGCCCCAGCATTACAAAAATAAGTGATAAATAAACCTATAAATATAAGCTACTTCCTATCGCAAATAATGATGGCTGATATTAAACTATCAGGGAGTTGGGATGAACAGGAAACCATCAGGTATTATACATATGTATTAAAAGAACTAAGAATACATTGAAATGGGCTTTTACTATAGCACCACTAAATACATAATAATCCTATTTATTGCTTAATTTTCTTTCTCTTTCTACTTACCTGACCTGTTTTGTTTCTCAACATCAATACTTAATGAGAAAAATATTTTAAAGGGATTACCATCGCTAGCCATTCCTCACTGGTTAAAGGCACACGATAAGTGGGCTTCTCTGAGCTTGCACTCACATTGATTCATTTTAATATGTTGGTTTCATCTCTTGCCTTCTTGAGGAACGTAGTTGCTTCTATCCCAACTATTGCAGTATTAACGACTTTAGTTACTCTGTGATCCTTCCCAACCTCAAACAGGGATATCTGTCCTCATTAAATACATGTATTCATCAGGATAGTAGGGATGAAAAGATGTATCTCAGGAGCAGATTGCTAACCTAGCATGCGCTGGTTTTGATCCCACCACCACACATACACACAAACACATACACACATACATATGCATACAAATATACATGCATATATATACGCATATCTACATGCATAAACATATGCACATATACACATAAACACACACACCAAGTTACTTGCTTATTCCAACTACCACAGCCAAAGCTGAAATAAACAAGACGTCTGCCTGGACAAACCTGTCTTACTGACAAGCAAAGGCCTGTCTGAATGAGACAGCTCCACAACCAGCTTTAGGTCAACAGCCTGAAGTAGGTTAGGTGTCCGGCACAAAAGAGAGAGTGAGCTACAATACCACAGCGGTGCCAAACCGAGACTAAACCATCAAAACCAGTTCCCAGTGTGGTCCAAGTCTGTAAAACAGGATGGCAACCGGGCACTGTATTTCGCATAATTCCAAGTTGTCTTCTTTTGATTTTGCATGTTGTTGTGATACGGGGTCTCATGATGTAGCCCATTCTGGCCTGGAAGGCACTATGTGTCCAAGGCTGGCTAGTTTCAAACTCTCAGCAACCCTTTAGCCTCCCTAATGCTGGCATCACAGGCACAAGCCATGTTCCAAGTTGTCTTTATCCAGGAAAATGTATTTGAATAAGTTCCTTAAAATCCTAACATCTATGATGTTGTCTGGATGTGAATAGAAGAGGATGACTAGACACACTTTATTTAATGTCTGTCTGGAGCCCTACTGCCCCCCAACTCTTTTTGGATGGTCACCCTAGTGCTAAACTGTCTCTCCTGGGTTTTGCTACGTAGCATGTGCTTCTTCAGCAGTGGCAAAAAACAAACAAACAAAAAACAAAAACAAAAAAACCACTCACAGCAGCATGGAAGGATTGCTGGGAATTGCAGGCTCAGTGAAAGACTTGAATTTGAAGGCAGTGACAGAGTAGGGCACCTGATGTCATGTGGCCTCACATACATGGGTACCTGTGCATACATCACACACACACACACACACACACACACACACACACACGAAACATCTTAAAGCACACAGATTATCTAGTGACCCAAAACTTGTAAACAGAGGAGCATCACTGGGGTTTGAAGAGCCATCTGCCGTTCCTTTGATGCTATCATTGGTTCAGAGTGTTTGCTGGCTGTTCTCCCTACTTCTCTCTTCCTCTCTGAGTTCCCTTCCCTCTGGAAATAAAACAAACAAAAAATTACTAGCGTGCAACCAAAACTCTCAGCTCAGAGATCTGCTGGAATGTTCCCCTCTTTGATGGAGAAATCGATTCAAGAATAAATTTGGGGAAATGGCATCCTTTGGGGTTTCAGCCTGCTTGACAGAGGGTCTCTTCCATCTCCCAATATTCAGCCTTTCTAGTGTTTTTTCCTGGGATGGGTCTTATCCCTAAAGACACTTCCAGTTTTAAAAGGCCCAAGGCAAAGGTGGGTGTCAAAATCCAACCTACTTAAGAAAAAAAAGAAAGAAAGAAAGAAAGAGAAGAAAAGTTTACTCTATAGAAAAGACATGGCCTAAGGACATTCCAGGAAAGGGCACTAGAAGCTGGGGCTGCGTGTGGAGCTTCCCAATGTACACAAGGGCAGAAAACTAGAACCTGAAGCCGAGTGACCACACATTTGCCTGTGTCTAATCACGCATCTTTGTGTGAATAACTAGAGAGATGCTAGAAGCAGACCCAGGACTGATAATTCCTTCGCCCTACCTAGCTGAGCAAACAACAGAGACCCACAAGCAAGGGAAGGCAAAGAGTGAGAGCACAGGTGCATGTGTTGTGCCGACAATTTTCGAGCTAAGGATAAACATACCTACAAAGCAAGGGTCGGAAAGGTGGACAAAACAAAATATTATTGCGTAAGACAGTCAGAGGGTAGGAATGCTTCTCGCAAAACAGTTAAGAAAGAAAGAAAAATTAAGTATGAATATGAAGATTCCAATTACAGTTTTGGAAGAATTTCTTAAGCAAAATCAAGCATTGCTACCAACAAGCTGGTCTAGAGGCACTCCTGTTAGTAATCCTTCAGCAGAGCTCTTCTTAACGTTAGTAACAAAGACAGCTTGCATCATGTACATTCAACAGTGAACTCTGGCCCCTTGTCAACTCAGGAAGGTAAGAGAAAGAAATTAAATGATATAAAGGTTAAAACCAAGGGGCCATCATTTATAGATAGCATAGTGTCATCTTAAGATAGCTAAACAAATTTTATAAAGTAGTATATAGAACTCTATTAAGATAACTTTCACAGACATCGTCAAAATGATTATGGTGGTTTGAAAGAAAATGCCCCCCTAGGGAGTGGCACTATTAGGAGGTGTGGCTTTGTTGGAATAGGCATAACCTTGTTAGAGGAAGTGTGTCTCTGTGGGCGGGAGCAGAGAGGCTTTGAGGTCTCCTATGCTTAAGCTATGCTCTATGTGACACAT